TGAAACTGTCTCATTGCTATCTGTTTATCAATAAAATTTTGAAAGAAAAAAAGTCTCCATCAAAGAAGGCAAAAGGAACACAAAACCTAATGTACTAGATTCATTTTTTTTTTTTTTTTTGGTTTAGTTTTTATATTCTTTGCAGGTCTCAATAAAAATCTGCTAAAAGACTAAAATTATATTCTAAATTGAAGAAAAATGCTTTTCTAGAAGCACTTAGAAGAAAGCATTTTCTAGAAGCATTTAAAGGAAAAATCCTTTTGACTAGTAAAGAGATACGCCTCTTGGCCTAAAAAAAAATAGATAATGTCAAAAATAGGAAACTATTTTTAGTCCCAAGTAAAACATACAGGATCAAAGTAAATAAAGGCAGTATGGACAACCTGCCAAACTGCCTATCTCCTAAAAAATATCTAATGAATTGGTTTTAGAAACAGCATGTTTGGGGCCGGGGAGATGGTTCGGTGTAAATATGCATTTCCCTGGCAAGCACAAGGGCCTGAGTTCAATCCTCGATTCCGTCCCCCCCGCCAAAAAAAAATGAAACATCGTATTAGAGAGTTTTATATAGTATACAAGAAGATTGTAAGTTATAGAGTCAGTACAGGTTGATTCTCCATTTGTCACTTACTAGCTGTAATCTCAAGTTACTGCTCCTGTAAAACCAGGCTTGTGATAGAGACTACTGTATGACAGAATTACATAAAACTATGTACAAAGTACCTACTGTAGAACCTGGCCCATAACCGGCCTCCTGGGAATACTGGCTGCCTTTACCCTGTGGTCTAACTGCTTCCTGGTGTGGCAGAGCTACAATCAGCTTGTGATAGACATCTAGATCTCAAAGGCTGCTACGAGACTGCCCCTTTCCCACTGACTTTAGCTTCCATCAAAAACTGTAAATATCGGAGAGAACAAATAACACTGAACCAGACATTCCTGTGACTCTGAGCAAAAACAAAGAATCCATGACTTTCATTATTTTGCTGCAGAATATACCAAAGAAATGAGGCTGAAATTTAAAAGGCAGCAAGAAACACAAGAATACTGATACTAAACATGGATGTGTATGACACAGGCTTATATGCACCCACTGTACCTACTATACTCACTCTTTTTTCTTCCTTCAGAAAACTAATGATGACGCAATTGATTTTGATTATACTGTACTACTTCATGAATTTCCAACACAGGTAAAACACAAGATTATGTGCAAAATTGTTTCACCAGCAGTTTTTGCAGGTCGTATTCTAATTTTCTGACTACTTCCTAGGAAATCATTCCCTGTCGTATTCACCTGGTCTGGTACCCTGGCAAACCACTTAAAGTGAAGTATCACTGTCACGAGCTACAAACTACATACTTGCAAGAAGCCTCCGGAACTGTGGAAGGATCAGCTATGGAACCAGCAGAGCTTAGTAACATTTAAAGTTAAAGAAAGATCTGCTTAGACCAGATTGTAGACAAAAATGACTAAACTGTCATTACTCTAGTATGACAGCTAAGGTATGGGAATTGTGGTAAGCAGTCCTCAGCGAGTTCAAGGTTTTAGCCCTAAAGTGTAAAATCTAATCAATATATTGAAAATGGATTGGTAATTATTTTTCTAAACAGAAATGGTTTCATCTCTAAATTTGTATTTCTTATTTGGGACATATTGTATGTTGCTAAATTGCTCCTTCCTGTATGTCAGATATATTTGTAATGAAAGCAATCTGTAGGGAAAATACTGAGTTTTATTATATTTCATCATTTCAAGCAAGTGTTCTTTTTTAACTTGATTAGCTACTTTTTAAATAAATCTTTCTAAATAAAATGTGTTTGCAGAGGTTTTTTTTTTTTTAATATCTTAGGGAAGGGTTTACAAGGTGTTCAAGGTCTCACTACTAGATTGGACTCATAGTGATCCGCCTATTTAAAGCCTCCCAAGAGCTGGGATTACAGGCAGTGGCGCCCCGGGGGCGGGGCCAGCACAGGAGATTTGTATTATAGGCAAAATTAGTGCTAAACTGAAATAAAATCAGTATTGCTTGATGCAAATATTTATTTTTATTTTTATTTTTTTTTTGCGGAACTGGGGATTGAACTCGGGCCCTTGCGCTTACCAGGAAAGTGCTTATTCCACTGAGCCATCTCCTCAGCCCGTAAATTTTATAAATATAACCTACCAGGTAATGCTGTCTGCAAGTGTGTACTAAAAGGAACATTAATGTAACAATGTACATCAAATATTTACAATTTTTATTTATAAAGACAACTTGAATCCAGTATTTGTCTAAGTGAAAGCAAACATAACATGCACTCTAATCAAATTCCTAGACCTTAAGGCAAGAAGGTCTAGGAAATGTTGCCATCATTTGCCTCTAAAAATTATCATAATTTAATTGAACACTTATGTCAATGTCTAAAAATACTGAGCCAGGTTTCTTGGCCAGTAATTGATTTGGAAGCATCAACCTTAAAAGATAAAATACAGATGTACATTTATTTACTAAGGGGTTATGTCCTAATAAATCCACAAGTTGAAAATATCATAGGTTGACAACACAGGTAATACACTTAACCTACAGAACCTGCTTTGGCACACCTTACTGTGTTGGTTCTATACTCTTGTGGTTGTATGTATGGCCTCCCTGCTGCCGCCCAGCATTTCAAGAGAGTACCAGATGCATTGCTAGCTTGGGTAAAGATCAAAAATTACTATTTTTAATTGTTCAAGAGGATCTCTTTTTCCTAGGCTGGCCTTCAAGTCACAGCAAAGCTCCTGCCTCATCCCCCCAGTCCTCGAGTTTTGGGATCATATGTGTGTGCCACCACACACACACTCAAAATTCTAGGAGTTTTTCCTAAAGTATCACTTTCACATCATTGTAAAGTCAAAAAACATCTAAGTCTAACCATCATAAGTTAGGGACTATTATACACTAAAGAAAAAAACCATACATGGACTCTTACAAAATGAATATAAACCTATCTAATTTATATATTTTTCTATTTAAAATCCCAAACTTGCACCAATATCCAATTGTTTTAAGTATTCTGAAACACTACTAAAGGAAACTTCTGCTCTCTCTCCTAGGTGGTAATGATGTGTTCTTTCTAAAGTAACAAAAGAAAACACACTACAATGATTACATTATGCCAAATCAAGAGAGAAACTTCTTTTTTGCTCCGAATGCCTTCACAGCAGGTTTGGCTGGCTTGAGTTGTGGGGATCAAACCACAGCAACCTGAGCCTAACGGCTTTGTTGAAGCAGCCACTTAAAGAACTGAGCTAAGGGGCAGGCCCCCTAGAAACTGCTTTAACTTAAGTTCCCTAAATGAGCTTCATAAACAGATTCTCAGAGCATCATCATAGCATATTAAATGTCTTACATTCTTCAGTCATTCTCTTAGCACCACATTAAGGACCGGAAAGGGGTGTTCACATGGCGCTTCAGCTTTCTCCAAGGCCTCATTCTCAAAAAGGCATTTTTCCATTAGAGTAGGCCTACCAATGTGACCATAATTCAGCCAGGGAAGGATTCTAAGGTAACCCTTCAACAAACTTATTTGAGTATAAAAAATTACAAGGGGAGGGCTGGTGAGATGGCTCGGTGGTCTAAAGCACCTACTTGGAACAAGCTTGGCAGGGCACAGGAACCGCGGTTCAGTCCCCCAGCACCACATGCCAGCCAGCCCCGCCCCCTGGTGGGCTGAGCTGGCCACACACACACAAATAAATAAATAAATAAATAAATAAAATAAAATAAT